AACCAAGGAATCAAGGCATTATGAAGGTGTCCTTCCGACTTGGGAGTGTCTATGGGTAAATTGCCCCGGCCGAGCCTGCCTGGCGCGCAATGTCCAAGACGGTGAAATGCCTTGGTGGGTGTGCTTGGTGGTGCTATAGTCCTGCTATCGGTCAGTCCCGCGGGCACCCCTACACGACGACAAGTACAGAACTAGTGCTGGAACACCACAGGCTCCAAATTGGCTCCGAGTCATGGCAGAAGGTTTCATCAGCAGGTAGCTCTGACGCATTCTTTTGCCATCGCGCATATCCATTTCATCCAGGCACTTGTAGGGGCCGAACTCGTGGAGGCCACAGCAGACGACATTCCTATAGCTCAGCTTCGGAGCAATGGCAAGCTACCACAGCCCGCTCACCAAACCTGAAACCCATACGTAGGGGTCCGCTGGGTGAAAGCACGATGCCAAAAATTGGCTTCTACCCCTGGCTCCACGGAGTTTGCTCAGCCCTATAAAGCAGACACGGCACAGCTGGGTGGCCGTGTGTTCGAGAAGTAGCTCACAGATCTCGCTGTGCCTCACAGTATGTTGATGTGGTAGGGTGGCAAGGCTGGCCACAGGTACCGAGCTCCGCAACTCCCAAAGCTCCAACAGGAGCTATCAGCCTTCCTCCAAGACTACGGTAAGATCTGTCAGCTGCAAAATACATCTTGGCCCGGCGGCTTCTCCATGCAAGCAGCGATGAGGGCTGTATATTCTTCCCAGCTGATCGCGCAAGAGCAACATCCATCGCCTCAGCGCTGGAAGGTGCGCCATCACCCCCCTGACACAAACCCAACACGCATTCGGACTTTGACAGATCCCCGCCATCCGACAAACTGAAACTCAACGGGCAAGGATGCGCTATGCCATGTCGCTATCTGGATGACGAGGAGCTTTGGCACCGAGAACTCACTTTACAGACTGTGCACTGTGCGAGCCTTGTCAAGATCGCAACCTCCAACCCTCTCCCCCACTCCTTGATCTTCTGCAACAGCCGCTCATTTTTCCGCAGTGGCAGTCCCTCTTGCAAGTCAAGGCGCTTCCCTTCAACCGCTCCTCCCGCACCCAGATTGTGTTGGGGTCCACGCCCTCCTGTTTCGACTCTGCAGGTGAGGCTGCGTCTGCGAAGATACTGATACTAGTACAGTTCCCACAACATCGGGCACTGAAATGGCATGTCTGATTCGTCATATTCTTTTCCGACTGGCAGAGTTGCGAATGTAGGGGTGCCTCCTGCCCTTCAGGGTTACAGGAGGAAGCGCTGAGGCGTGCTCTCACAGTAAAACTCTGGTGGTGCGTATTTACTAGAACTGTTGATTTTGAAGCCTTCTGCCTGCAGACGCTGAACTTGTGCTTGGGATATGCACTCTCGGTAGCCTGGTGCACCAGCATAGTAGCACAGGTAGGTCACATTGTCCTTCCGCATGTTCTTTGAAGGCAAGACTGGGAGTTCGAAGTTTTCCAGAAGCTTGACCGCGATCCCGCTCATGTTCAGCACAGTCTCCAGCACCTGTTCCGGAGATCGGTGTGAACCGCGCGCCTGCAGCTGCTGCTGCAGCAGATCGAATTCCCATCGCACTGTGTGTAATGGCGTCATGAGGTAAGCATGTGCTACTTCTCGGCCGACTGCTAAGGCAAACTTGTCGTTCATGCCATGGCAGGCGTTGCACTTCGGCACATAGAGCGTGTTCGGCGCGTTCTCCTCCATCGTTGCAAGTGGGGGAACGAAAGGCTCCACAACGGCATCATCCTCTCGGAGTCGCATCATGTACTTCCCAGGCCAAGGAAGTTGAGAACAGCGGTCCAAGGTCTCCCACTGCCGCATGTGGGAGAGCCCTCTGCTCTTTGCCATGTCCCGGCCTTTCCATGGCATTGTCTGATACAGGTCCTCGATGTATCGCTCATCCACGGGAAAGTCATGCGGAACAAAGGGGTCGGCAATCAGGTCGATGGTCTTGGGGATCATCTCTACGGCTTGCTCCAAGGTGGTGAAGTTACCATCAGTCACCTCGTAGCTCTCATTATGCACCTCTCCCGCTGGGCGATTGATGTACAACGGCTCCGGCCGTGGATCGAGGACCAACGCAACGAGGACCGCGTAGCCCGCTGCTGCAAGCGGCAGGAAGAGGTTCTCCACCTTCGAATTGAGCTCCAACCGGCGTACTTGGCCAGTGATGCAGATCAGGAAATTCTCCTTGTCGGGGGGGCCGGACTCCGCCCCGATACGAGGGTAGAGTGGCACGAACTGGGGCTGTGGGCCACCCAGGAAATGCATCAATGCCGGCACGTCAATAGGAGAGTCGAACACGTTGATCTCGATCAGCTTCTCCGCCGGAACCATGCAACGCACCAGGCGCTCATGTGCCTCGTAGAGGCGCGCGGCAGTTTCGACGTTGATCTCTTCCATCGTCAGACCGCAGGGACTGTGCATTGGCGCACCCATCGTTCTGCCAAACTGCATGCGGGACTTAGCCCAGTCTGCAGCACCGCGTGTGGTCAACACCACCTTGGAAAAGGGTGAGACGGCATAGAAGTCTAGAAAGTGCTCTGCTAGTGGAGTATCCAGCAACATGTCATGTCCAACGGCCATCGCTTGCGAGAAGTTCACAGCATTGAGAGCTTCCACACAGCCTGCGACGCCCTGTTGGTGCTTCGAGCTCACTAAGTTGTTCAGCTGGGACCAGAACTCAGATGGATCAGGATCTGCCCGCGAGTGATGGACTCGTCGGCCCAATTGCACCGCGAACACATACAAGGAACGCGTTGCAGTCTGGCCAAATCCAGCACCCAAGATCACGGAGCTATTGGAGTTGGTAGATGGCACTCCCACACCACCAAACCTGCGCTTTGCAAGCCGCTCAGCGAAGCCAGGTACATGTGCGTCGATCTCAAAACCATACTGCCGGATGCACTGTCTCTGCTGCTCCGCAAAAGGAGAGTCCTGTCCAATGTCGTTTGCATGTCCACCACTTCTGGAAGAATCTGCGCGATGCTGCACAAGGCAAGACGTCTTGCTTTGACTGCGCACGAGGGTGGCGCCAAAGGACAGCACATGGATTGCAAAGATATGTGCGAGTGACGACGCACATGGCGGTTTCATCGGCCCGGAAAAATGGAAGTTGGCAATTGAATCATCAGAGCCAACATGGCTTAGGGTTGGAGGGTCCAATATCACGTGAGGTCAGCGTGCTAGTTTCGGCCGTGACACTGGTACACCACAGCTTCGCCCACCGGACTCGCTCCTGAAGCAGCCTGGCCACAGCTGTTGCATCGCCCTCGAAACTCCTCGGTTTTGCAGAGGTTGCCCCTGTCACTTCCAAACCCACCTTCCTAAAGTTTCCTAAAGCCTTCGTAATCCTCGAGCTAGAAAAGTGCTACCCACGAGCATGACCGAAGCAGATCCGTGGAAGATGTGTTCTGATGGAGGGCCGGATTCCTGACGCAGAGGAACCCGTTTTTTCGCATTGAGATTGTTGGGGATTCCAGGATCCTGGGCCAGGTGTACGGTTCAACTTGGTGTGCTCTACCTTTGCCCACGAACCTCTCGGTCCAAGCATGTGAACTCACACTTCGTTAGACAGCTTGCAGTTGTATTCGTGTTTATATAGCAGCAATACAGTGAACAGAAACAAGGACCTTCCATCAACCACCCAAGCCGGTCGAAGGCAAGGCACTTCTGCACCAGCTCAGGGCAATGTCTCAATTGTGGCGCAGCGTCGAGAACCTTTGTTCTGAGAAGGTTCTCGAAGCTCTTGGGTGCGAGGTTCGATGAACTGAAGGCTTTTGTGCGGGTTCGCCCCCTTCCCCCCTTCTGCAAGCCCAAGCTGTTTGATGATTGAGCCTTGGTGTCCTACCCGTAGCAATGTCGCCATCAGCTGCACCCCCCGTCTCCGGCTTCAAATGCACAATCAAGCAGGACACTTCAAGCGATAGGCTTCTGCTAGCTTTGCAGGGTCATACCGCTGCTGCCCCAAACTTTAACCCTCCCACCTTCCGAACAGAAAAGGACACGTTGACCCTGTGAAGAGGCACCTCCTCCAGCTCCGCGAGGCTTGGGATGGGCGGGCCTTCCTCGGGAAGGGGAACTGCTGGAGGATTCTGTGTAGGAACCAAGGATCAGCTACTACCATCTGAAGGGTATCTCCAACATTCCCTTCCTCTCCGCAGGATGGGCAGGCAGGAGCCCCCCCTAGCGGATCTTGAAGCCTCAGCCGCATAAGATGCCAACATTGCCCTATGTGCCTGAAGACCCCCTCCAATACACGCCACTTCTGCATCAAGACTTCCCTTCAAGGCTGAACTAACGCTCAATCCTCCTCGGGCTCTGCGTCCACTTCTTCCTCGACAGTCTTCTCCACCCGCTCCGCGACCACCGGCCGCAGCCGAGGAAGCGGAGCTGGTGGCGGAGCATCGGCAGGGTCTGCAAAGGGATCCCAGGCGTCGGCCATGGCGCGAGTTGGGGACTACAGATTCTAACATTAGACTTCTTCAAGTTTGGTACACCTGGGGCTCTCAGTGAAGTGGCAGCGCGAGGCATCTTGGCAAGGACTTTGGGATTTTTAGGGCAATTTGTGGCATGTTAGGTCCAACCTGTCCAACCTATAATCATATGAAGCTACTTCTGCCAAATGCTCCGACTCCAGACGCAAACTCGCGAAGCCGTGTTGTTTCTGCGTGATCCAGAGGCTTGATTGCTTGATGGCTGGCGCAGACAAAACATCCTTTCGCCGACCTCCTGAATTTTCCCAAGCCGTGCCTTCCCTCAGCTCTTGCTTTGGGTGCTGTGGAGTTGTTCAACACGCTGAGTGTCGCCCACTGGATAGACAGCTGGAAATCACTAGAGTTCGCCGGAGCAAAGTCGAAGCCTGACATCACTACGTACAACTACCTACGCACTCAAGTAGCGCCTACCTTGATTCATGGGGCAAATTAGCAGGTGACCTGGTGCACACTCTGCAACTGCTGCTTGAGGCAACTGCCCCATTGAAGGTAGGCACGTTCTCAAGGAAGAGGATATCGTCCTTTACCAAGGCCCAAGGTGCTGGATTGGCCAGATGTGCGAAGTCTTTGCTAAGTGGGTGCCGTGCTTGCGGCGGCTTCGATGCACAAAGTCAAATGCTCGTTGATTTCGCTGGATTCTTGGCTGGCGCCCTGGATGGCATTGATTTTAAGTCTCAATGTCCCAACGTGTCCTGAATGTGTTCGTTGATTGAAGTGGGAGCGCACCCCTCCTTGTCCCTGTGGTTTTCTAAGGATTGAACTTACAAAAAGGCGACACCTCCGGCCGAAGCTTAAGGTGCCAGCCCCGCAGGAACCACAGACGAAGCCACAAACACAACAGGCAGCAACCACGGTACCCCTCTCCCCCCTCCCCAAAAGCGACGAAAGAAAATAAGCGAGCTGCGGTACACCAGTGGGGTCCCACTGCTCAAGCTCAGACAGAGGGCAAGCCCTGACGAAGAGCGCGGCCACAAAGCAGACGAGCTGCTCAGCACCAGCGGGGGTTCAACTGCCCAGAAAAGGAAACCCAAAGAGCGAGCCTTGATCAAAAGAGAGCGGCCACGAAGGAGAGGAGCTGCTCAGCACCAGTGGGGGGTCCCACTGCCCCAAAAAGGGAAACCCAAGGAGCGGATAGCGGCACAAGGCAACAATGTGCCTTTGCGTGCGAGCTTACATGGGAGCTCGTCGGACTGGGGACGGGTCCGACTGCAGCCCTTAGTGCCGCCCCTGGGGTCCCAGTTGCTAACTGCACGAGAGGGAGAAAGAAAACCCACATCGGGTGCAGGGGACATGGCAACAAGCATCACTCGCAGGCAACTCCAAGTTTTCGAGCCCCGCATAGCCCCGCGAGATCCGCTCGGGTGATGAAGTCAAGTAGGTCCTGATTTTTGTCTGGAACACGACCTCGCCCCTGCAGCTGGGACATGTGAGTGAAGTCTGCCGCGCGTCCCATTCCTTCCGACCAACAACGAATGCATCGACAGAGGTTGTGCCAAAGGCAGCAGCAAATCGAGGCGCTCGCATAGAAGCACTGCTGGGCTTCCACCATGAGTATTTTCGCCACGTCCAATAGTCCAACCGGACCGTCTGCACCGGTGCCTTCTGCAGCGCAGCCTTCTGCAGCAGCATCCGCCACAGTGCTTCTGCAACTTGCTGGCGGAGGTTCTCTTTCATTGATGAACGTGAGGAAATGGCTTTCATCCATCGCTTTGCCATAAGACATATACTCACAGATCGCAGTACAACGCCCAGTTCGCGCTACGCTCCTAACCTCATGCTGCTTGAACCCAGATATCTCAGTAGTGTCCGCAGGCCTGCAGGAGGCTGCAGGAGCTGCAGGAACCTCATAGAAAGCACTCCTCACGTTCTCGGAAGCCATGGCACATATGTGTTGGCAGAAAGCCATTCAAATGGGAACTGGCTCAGTCTGTGCAACTTGAGCCAAAATGGATTTAGCGAAAATTTAGCGGGGTGTTGGACCGCTTTAGTTGGTTTGCACTTTGGCCGGTTCCCGATTGGTCCCGCCTCGCTCTCCAGCGCCTTGGCCGAGCCGGCCAGCACCTCGGAAGTTGGGGGGCATGCCAGTGATGCCATGGATCCGCGCCTCCGAAGCTGAGGCCACAGTACGTTCCGTTCCATTACACTCCTACAAGTACGCGAGGCTTCACGGTCACTTGCAGCAGCTTGGTTGGAGTAGCTCTGCAAGTAGGAACTAGAAGCGAGGACATAGCAGGCACACGGGCAATTCGAAGCTACCTCCCCGAATCGAAGCAGTGTCTGGCAAAGGCTGTTAGAAGCGTCCAGCTGGCAATATGATTGTCTACAGAGACATCTGTAGAAAAATATATATGATAATCAGAATGAACCCAAATCTACATATGAATATATCTATATAGACCAGTGTGGAGCGCCTAGGCAAGTGCCAGGTCTGGCAGACCTCGCAGACCTGATTGGGAGAGGCACAGCGGCGCTGGCCCGGCTGAGGCTCTTCTTGCCGGACTCGTACTGCCCGAACCTTGGGACTACTTGGGACTGGGAAAGCCAAGATCTTGGACCTTGTGGCCAGTACGTAGCAATGTAGCCTCATCTAGGCGACATCTCATGTCAAAAATCCACCGTCCTATGTCACACTTCCTCATCCGCACCGTGGAGCAGGGGGAGTGGTTGTTCTTGCCTGAATCTGCAAAGCCAGGGCCACCAAAACTGAGAGAGGCGCCAGCGCAGAACTCCCTGAAAGAACCCTGGATGGTCGGCGGAGGCCTGCGCAAGCTTACTTGATGCCTTCTGCCGCTACGGGCTAAAGTATCCACAAGACCTGTAGCATCTCATAAAAGTACGGTGCCTCTATCATTCTGCATATTTTTGCATCCATATGGGCTGCAAGGTTTGAAGTGTGAGAAACCGGCGGCGGCCTGCGGTGTAAGCTTTGTGCTGCCGAAGCCATGCACCTCAAAGCGGCCCTTCCTCAGCTGTGCATCTTATACGTAGTTGCATGTGCTTACAGACGAAGCTTCTCTTCTTTGTTTGTTTCTTCGAGTTGGAGTTCTGGGAGGAGAAGCGCTAAAAATCGACGTGAGCGAAGAAGCTGTTCCGACCGGGCTGGCCGTCAAACGTGACAGGGCTCGACCGGGGTTCTTAAGATGTTCAACTGCAACAAAGAGATAAAGAGTGAGCTGTCGATCTTGCACCCCCCAAGCCTGAGACCCGTCTTGCTCCTTTTTGCGCGCTCGATGCAACTGGCAGTCTCAACTTTCCCTGGTTCCTCAGATCTCCTTCTTCTGCAGGGAAGGTGGCAATGACCTCTCTGACGCAGGCTTTGGGCAAAATAATGACTGCCATGGACAGGTTAAAAGAATCCAAAGAACTGTTGCCTGGGTGCCTAGCGCTTGGGCTACAACGACGCTTCAGGATAAGGACGGGCACTTGCTTGAGCTGCGCCGTCAGAGTCTTGGGGTGTTTTGAAGCTTCGGGCTGGAACCCCTGAAGCCCCGCTCGATTGTAAGATTGTGCCGAACTCGGGCAAGCGGTTGAAAAACCTGCTAAGAGTAGGGAGCTGGCTGCTTGAGCTTCTCGGCTTTCGTCTTGTCCGTCATGATCAGGGTGTACAGGTATCCTGGGAGCTCAAGGGGCCTATACCAAGCACTACCAATTGCTGTAAGCCTCTGGGAAGCCCAAAAGCTAAAAAGACTTGTTGATGCAGGATCCCGAACAAGGATTGAGGCTGGAGGAATTGCCTAAGCAATTGAGTGCTACAGCATTTTCATGAAAGGGAGTTGGGCACGCTGCACATCTGGCATGGCAACAAACAACCTCGGACTACACTGACTACACCCTCATAAGCTCTCCAAAATGTGTGGGGAATGCGCAGCGTATGTTAAGCTGAGGGTGTGCTGTCTTCCTGCCACTGAAGCAAGCCACGGCTGCATCGAATCTTGAACTTCGTCTGCAGGCCGTTCTTCTTGATCTTCACCTGAGAGGGTGCTTGGAGATCAGATGCCATCATCCAATTCAAACCTCAAGTGAAGGAAGATTGAATTCTGTGTATCCTTTGGTGGCTCAGGCTCGAAAGATTCAATCACTTTGAAACGCATGTTCAACATCATGGTTTGCAATTTTCCTTCCCAAGCGGCTGAACGCGCATCCTTCCGGCGGGCAATCTGCAAGAACTGGCGAATCTCCGTGATCTGCTTGGGCCTGACACCACGAGTCAAAAAAACTTGGGGACCAAATAGTTTTTCTGCATTTCTAAGGCCGCGACATTGTGTTTGCGCGGGTTGTGCCGTGGGATGTTGCTAGCTGATTGAGCCAGCGCTTCCTGCCCTGGGGCAAGATCGGATTCTTTCGGTGGAGGACTTGCGCAACCATACCTGTGTGCACGTATCTGAGTATACCATGCGCACACGAGAAAGACAATACAAAAAGAATGAACCTGAGCACTACCCGGCTGCAACCCTCTTCCTGGGGTAGATGAAAGAAATCCGAAAGACTTTAAGTATGTCAGGGGTGTTTGTGGGAGTGGTAAACGCGCCTCGCTATGCACACAAAGCATTAATTTCGGCTACCAACTTGCAATCGCGTTGGTGTCACTGACATGCCTTGAATGCAAAGCCACGCATGCCTGCATCTTAATGTCTACGAGCTGGTGATGATGATGCGACATAGTTTGCCAGCACAAGAAAACACCTACAACTGCCACTGTCTCAAAGGCAGGACTGTGACCAAAGTCTGATTCCCAAGCGACGGACCCCTTTTTCCAGAAGCTCTCCAGTCGCAAACAGAGGCGGGGAACCACAACGTCGTTTTCTGTTGGACGCACGTTGTTCCTTAAAAGGCTCAGGTTTGCTCATGGCACTGCTACTGAGGGGTGTCTTCAAATTTTTTTACAGCATCCATAGACACCACGAACAGGTGGGCGACCTCCAGTCACACCTTCTCAGGCTATGCTTGCAAATGGATTCACTAAATTGCGCCATCAAGGCCCTCTACTTTACATCAGGTTGCGCAGCATACCCCTGCTTCTTGTCACGACCAGTTTCATCCAACTCGCCGAAAGGCTGGATCTGCTTCTCCTTTCGCTTCTTGAGCGTCTGAAACTGCTTATCCATTTTGAAGGAGCTCAAGATGTTCTCCAGCTCCTGCGTGCTGAACAGGCAGTCGAGCTGGCACGGTGGAACAACCGCCTGGTCAGACCACACGATACCTTAACCAAGGCATGGGATTTGCAGTGCACTGTGCACACCTGCGAGAAGCAATTGCAGCTAACGCACGAAAGGACATCACTTTGTCTGCCTGGATGCTGTTGCCACAACCGATGGGCTTGAGATTGGTTGCTTCGGCCTTCTTGGTGCTTTCTGTCTCCGGCTTCATCAAGAACTTTCCCGGTCGCAGTTTCCCCTCAACCCTCTCCCAAAGCAACCGGTAGTAGGCTGTCGACGAAGCATCTATTCGGCTTGGACGAGCTCCGCATGTTGTTCGACCATCACAGCCTTCCACTTTGACCCAAATTTCGCGACAGTGCTGGCAACGGCGAATCGCATTGCGCCAGTCGCTGGTGTTGTCGGGGTTTACCAACAAGTGTTTTTTGGCTTCGTTGCGGAACTCCGAGTGTGCGCGGTGGATCAGCTTCTGCAACTCGATGCTAGCCGCATAGTCATCAAAGGCGATCTCATCCTCACCGTTGCGATGCAAGAAGGGCTGGTACACGTTCTCCTCCAGCTCCATGCGGTTTTGCTGAATAAGTGCATAGATGTAGTCTTGGACTTCGTGGGGTGTGAGCTTCTGCTTTGTGGCAACCAAATGGCGAAGGCCTTCCTCAAACTCGGCACACAACTTCTCAATCTGCTTCTTCAAGCGATGCAAATCAAACTGCTCACGCCCCTTCCATGATTTCAGGTCGAAGTGCTCCAAGAACTCCTCATCTGTGTAGCTCAACTGAATCTTCGAGAGTTGGGCGATTGCTTTCCTCATGTCGTGAAAAAGCCTGCGAGCCGTCGAGGTGTCGTCGGAGAAAACAACCTGATTCATCCCATAGTCCAACTGGAAACTCTGGCGGATGTGATCTTCCATGCTTTGGCGGGTAGGGAAGTTTGAATCAGGATGGAATTGGTCCATCTTGGTTACTAATAATTACTACAATGTGGTCGTAGGCCTCCTTCTTGAGGATCTTCGCAACTTCATAGAAGTCTCCCCCCATGTTGTTGCGGATGCGCGGGCTGTACTCCACAGTGACGAATACACCGTTCAGGGGCTCACATGTTAACCCGTGGCGCAACACAAAACTATGCGCGTACGTGTCCTCTTTGCTGTTGCAACCTGGGCCATCATACAGGACCATAGACGCGTCATCATAGAAGACCTTCTTGCTTACAAACTGCCTTGTGCAGGAGTCGTCAGTGATGTCGGCATCACGATTGGCATCGCATACCTTTCTGATGTCTGAGGTAGAGTGAGGAGGTTCACGAGTTAAGGCCGCGCCTAGACCCGATCTAGAAGAACCTCGTGACTATGAATCCTTGATTCCCGAATCCACCGGGCTCCTGACCTTGTTGAAGATGGTGGTCTTCCCCGCCCCCACTTTCCCGATCATGATGGCCGTTGGATCCTGTCGCATGGCTTGTGCGAAGCCAGAATAATAACTCTGAATGTCTTTGGTAGCCCAAAGCTGAGGTGGCGTTTAACGTTGTGAATGAGCCTGGCACATCTGTTCAAGCGGGAGTGCTGGATTAGACTAGATTCCAGGGTTTGCGGGATACGTTAGTGTCACAACTGTGCCTGGGTATCATTCTGGTGCACCTGCAACATGAACAGAATCAGAAGATTCTGCATGAAGAATCCTGCCTCTCGATTTCTCAAGCTTGCCGCCGAAGATATTGACGTGAGAATAACAAAATCGGGCAAGTTTGGCAGCTCAAATCCCTCCCCAAATTAAGAAATTAGCTGGATTTCTTGTCTTGAGGGTTGGCTTTCCTTTTCCAAGGTGCGTGGGAAAAATATGGGATTCAGAAAAACCGTGGGTCCCTCAAATAGTTGAGCTGCTTGGTCGAAACGTAGGGGGCTTCAGTATGAAGAAACCTGGGGGAGAATCGGAGCCATGTACCAAAGGAGATACACACACACACACACGGAATCTCGTCCTCCACTCTGGGCGACATGACGAAGACTGAAGCTAGCGTGTCGCTTCTGTTGCGTCACGCTTAGACAACAGCTTCGAGCATGAGAGAGTGTGTCAGATTTGCTGGTCTCACAATTCAATTAAGACTAGGATTCTTCACCCCGCTCTGATTCGCTCAGCTTGCAGTCCCTAGTGCTAAGAACGGGGAACTTAGGTGGTGGCTTTGAGCCTTTGGGGAGGGTCACTCACCAATTGTTGCTGCTCCTTCTTATTTTTTGTTCGTCTTCTTCTTATTATTCTTCTTCTTCTTCTTATTCTTCTTCTTCTTCTTCTTCTTCTTATTCTTCTTCTTCTTCTTCTGGTTCTTCTTCTTCTTCTTATTCTTCTTCTTCTTCTTCTTCTGGGCTTCTCTCTCTCTCTCTCTGTCTCTTCTCTCTCTCTCTCTCTCTCTCTCTCGCTCCCTCTCATTCTGCTCCAATTTCTCTGCAATAATTCAGCAAAAACTGCGGCCCCGGACTTGTATTGCCATCGAAGCATTGAGTCAGATGCCTTCCTTCGTGGGAAAAGAGGGCTGGCAATGCCTCATTGCGCCTCCTGTTGCCTTGCTGTGGCGCTTATGGGTTGATGCCGGCATTATAAGTCATTGCAATTGCAAAGCGGGGTTGGGAGTAAATGTCCATGATTCTGCTCTCGTAGCCTCCGGTTCCTGAATAAAGCGAGGTTAGGGTTAACGTCCCCCCTGTGCTCGGGCCAAGCACTGTGGCTAAAGGGTTGATGGTCAGCGCTGTCTGAAGGTCGAACTTCTCGAAAGCTCTGTCATGGCTTGGACTCGATACATGCTCTGAAACCTTGAACCTGTCAAAACCCCTCTAATCTCGGCATCATGATGTCATGATGTGCTCAGCTTGGCACCAGTTCTGAACAGGTGGACACTCGCAGGCAGGGAGTAGTAGCCTTGGGCTTGCGACACCAGACAAAACCCACGCGGCGCTTCGCAATCCAAGCAATCGAACACCATGGGGGCCCGATCCGAGCGTGCAGGGTTTTGGATGTAAAGTCTAGATGAGAAAACGATTGGTCGAGGAGCGCAGGCAAGAAAAGGTTGGCCGGGAAAAATTGCAGAAGCCGACCGCCGGCTGCTCTGCAGGCTGAGGGCGCAGCATCTTCCAAAGGAACACCGTGTCCCGAAACCAGGCCAGCTCTGGAAAGAGCTCCAGCCTTTCTTTGTGTGCAAGGCCAAAAAGCCCAAAGCCCCCAAAGCCCCAAAGTCAAAGTCGCTTCAGAAGGGTGCAGCTTCTCGGTCGGGGTGCAGCTCTGGCCGCTCGCCCGTCCAAAGCTGTGGCGCAGCACGCCGGGCGGCATCCAGGCCTTGCGCCAGAACCCTGAACAAGGGACATCCATTATGCATAGATCGCAAGATTGGATGGATAAGTAAGTAGGTTTCGGGCCTCTGCATTCCGCTTTGGCTTTTAAATCTGGTGCTGCCTATGCGACATGTCACCAAGGAAGAATGGCGACATCAAATTTGCTGTAGTGCGAAGAAGGTTTCAGCATCTGACAGAACACATCTCAGAACCAGGACCCTACCCACATTCTATCCCCGCAAGTCGGCCTAAGCAGACAGAGATTTGCTCAGCCAGCGCAACGTCGCCTGACTTCAGCAGCAAGGTCTATTGGTTGGAGGAAAGCTTTTTTGGGCAGGTCGTTTCGGTCAGGCTTAGGCTTCAGGACTTTGGCGTTTGCTCATTTTCAAGGGAGGATGAAGGTGTGATCTCGCGGCTTTTCCATTGCATTGGAGCTGAGGATTCGCGAAAATGGCTTCGGGACACCAGCGAGCTTGTCGACCTTTGAGGCTTCAGAAAGAACTTGTGGAAAGCGAACCTGCTTTGTGCATGAATAGTCTTTTCCTTTACTCGGCTTACCCTCGTTCCTTAGCTGCTCTACAACTTGATGCAGGGTCAGCTCAAGCATGCAAGGAAATGGTTGCAACTTACCTGGCCTGGGTAAGCTCCGATTCCCGCACATGCGATCTCCCAGAAGATCTTTCTGCTTAAACCAAACATCGGTCATTGGTCTTCCCATGACATGTAAAGTTGACAGAACCCGACGTGCCTTCACTGCAAACCATGTCCTTGTCGAATGCGAACACGATATGGTCATCGGCGACAGAACGCCGCACACCTTCGGCAGACGTTTAGACTAGCAGTGCTTGGAGCAGCTGATATGCGCGACACAGAATACGTAGGCCCAACGAGAGTACCACGCTCTTTGAAAAAGCGTGTGTTGCATCGGTGAGCTCAGGACGCGGCTTGCAAAGTAGTCCAGTACAAGCGCGCGCCTCATTCGGTCATCCGTGTCGGCAGCCCCCACCCCCAGCTGCTCAGCTTGCTCAGACACTATATGAGGCGACTTTATAAAGGAGGGTCTGAATGAGGAGCTCCAAGGAGCGAATTACAAACAAGCCGACGGGTTGATCTCAAGGCCAAGGCCCCGAAGGCAACAAAGTGCACGAAACAATTCGGTGTTTCAGCTCGAGTTCTAGCAGATTCTAGCAGAAATCGAATACAACATGCTCAAGACAGAACACCCTGGCCAACACCATAGCCTAGCCTGAACCTGCCCCAAACAACATGGCGAGCCCTTTTTCCTGCCACCACACCTATTTCCGTCTAACCAAGGTTTTCTAAGCGATTGCTTTCGCAACCTGGTTTGTGGCTCCATGCCATGATAAAGACTGACTACCGGCCAACACGGAACTACTTGCCGAACCTTGCATGCGCTTAGGCCCGGTGCAAAGCTGCATACTCGGGGGCCACCTGAGGCACACAGGGAAACCTTAAGTTCGCCCTTCTTTTCTCCGAATCCCTCTCTCTCCCTCTCTCTCTCGGATGTGCAACAATAGTCTTAGTCCGATCTAGGTCTCTAGGTATCTTTCTTTCTTTGGGGCATAGGGCAAGCGCTGCGCCAAGGCGCGCTTAGGCTTCTCTCTCTCTCTCTCTCTCTCTCTCTCTCTCTCTCTCTCTCAGGCTTTGAGGAGGTGCCTGCCCCACCGCCCCGAGCATAAAGCCGTGGGCCCGAAAGGAGAAAAGAAGCAAGGCAACAAGCTTTGCCCATTCTTTGTCTCCCAAAGTTCTGAAGTCCTCGGGGCCGGGCCAGAAGCAAGGTCTCCGAGACCTCCCGGAAAGCACCAGGATCCACACCTGGGCAGGCCCAACAACCTCAACCCAAAGGATCCTAATGATTCCGGTTGGGTTGAGAGCGAAGGGGTAGTGTAAAGATGCACACTGCTCGCGCCACGTATTCCGATCAAAGTGCCCAGCCGTTCTCTGACCCTCGAGGGCACTTTTCCGCCTCGCGACCATGGTGACCCTTCTTGGCTAGATCCTGCTTCCTCTTAGTCCATCTGCCTGCGTTCTCGATATTTCTGGATCCCTGCAGTCGCGGAGTCTTGCCACCCTCCTGCGCTTCTTCCACGGGTAGCCCGACCACCTTTGCATCCATGGGGTCGTCGCTGGAATCGCGACCTCTCGGCATTCCGAACCGGCCGAAGCTGCCGGAAGCATCAGATCGCCAGGAGCCATGGAGACGCGGAGCCGGGCTGAAAGGTGTTCGGAGCTGTGCCAGAATGTGCATCCACGGTGGCTGTCGCTAGGCTTCCCGCCAAGTCAGTGCCAAGACGGGCAGCACTGCGAATCGTGAGCTGCACTGCTGCACCCGGCCAAAGTCACAAAGTATCAGCACATCCGCATCACATCTACCTCCAGCGGTCCAAGCATCCCAACCCTGAAACAGACTAGCGACGACGAGGTTGAAGTTGAAAGTGCGTAAACCCGAATGCCCTTGACAACAAAGAGTAAGTGAACTCAGCTTCTCGGACAGCACACCGAGAACCCCTCAACACACCTCTCCGGCCTTTCATCTCTGCCTGAACCCTGCGTGCTTGCTTGACTTCAAAATATGAAATCTTTTATTGCGCTAACCAACCGGGGACAGACTGGAAACTGGTGCCAGAAACGCTTACCTAGGGCCTTGGCCCAGAAACAGGCGCTGACAACTTGTGCAGGGTATAGTCTACTGAGCCTACTGCATCCTACAATGGACATCCAACAAAGCCCTGCCTGGTGCTGGCATCAAAGAGGTTCCAAGGGAATTTTCCCCAGGGTCTGCAAGACTCCTCTGGCCAACTCCGAAATCAGCCCCGGCACCACCTTCAGGGGGGTTTGCGGAGTTTCATGCAGCTGCTGGCGGGCTCCCAACCAGCCACGGGTGAGGGTGACGCTCCACGTAAAAACCACCACGGCACTGCGGCATGACTCCTTCTTCAAACTTAAAGATTGCAGCTTCCTTGACTGGTGCCAATCATGAGCCTCCACAATCCCACCTACCAGCAATCCAGCAGTTGAGGGCTCTGAGTTAGAGACATCCACTCGCATGACTCAGGCATACTCAAGCAAACCTATGTGCAACCCAGTACTACACTGCACGACACAATGCCGAGTTCCATGACGGGTTTTTTGCGTTGCGAGAGCCGACACCCGCACATCCACATACAAGGGTCGAAAGATGACGGCTTTTTCCTCATCAAAGGATGTCGCGAACATGCGTTAAGTGTGTCTGGAAACTCGCATGAACACACAAGCAAACCACAATATCCGACTTCTCGTCCCCTTTTTTCGTAATCCCCCACAGCTTATGTATTCCTTACTATCCGAGAAGCTGTGGCAGTTCGACCTGGCCCCTCCAAGGTCAACCTGGCAACCTTTTCCCCCTGTCCCTGTCCCGCCCAAGGCCGACCGCGTTGCCAATCTGCTTATAGAAGCCGTTGCCGCTGTCGATCTGGTAGCTCTCCGGAAATCCCATCCTACAAGGCTGGCATCTTGATTTCGGGCATCTGGAGAGGCATTCGTGGTTTGAGAAACTTCGGGGCGCCATGGATAGGCCGACAGGCCCATCCCAACTCAACCCAAACACGAGGAACCTTCAGCAACGCATGTCCCAAACTTCGAAGTGTCCACACAAAGTGCAAGCCAGGCTGCAAGCGGGCACACTCTCTCGGAGTGAAGAAACGCGGCAATCCGACTGTGGCCTCTGCAGATGTGCGCTGACATTAGGTTTGCATCGAAGGAACCGAAACTTGGAACAGAAGGCTGGGAAACTGGAACCATACCTTCCACGCAATTCAACCTGACCTAAGGGCCTAAGGATGCCTAAAGGGCCTCATCCCGGGTATGCTGAAGTTTCCGGGGCCAGGTCGCCACAAACTGCGAGGCCCGGCGCCAGTCGCAGCGGTAGGACGAGCGCAGGGCCCCTGCCCAGCCTGCCTCTGGTGTGAGCACCCGCCTGAATACAAAGCTTGCAATGTGGCTTGCCGAGTTCAAGGGTCTAGCCAAAGCCCTCCTAATTCCTTCTGGGTCAGTATCATGCTTTGGGCGTGGAGTTTGGCAGTTGCCACTAGGTCTTTCTAATCTGGTTTAGCAGTCGGCTCAGATCCAAGATCGCTGTCATTGAGCATGCGTCGGCATTAAGTGTCGCCTTCAAAGACTGCACTCTACGAATTGGAGAGCACTGCGGACCAGCGGCTTGCGAAGTGCGCACTCCTCACTTCCTTCTTCAGCTACGACCTGAATGTCAATGGACACACAAGCACAGAAATGGGTGGTTGTCAACCACATGTGCTCAGCACAACTTTAGATCCCGCTGCCCTGCAAATGTCATGCAGTCTCTGCTTCGCTGCGGCATGCTTCAAGACCCCCAAGACCCTGAGACTCGTCATGACCGTCGGACCTTCTCCCACTGAGCTTGCATCCTTAGATGGCGGCAGCAGGCGAGCTACTTCCACTTACTCACTTGTATTTACCTGGCAACGCTGTTGATTCTGCTACATTCTCTTCGGCGAACTCCCACATCGTGGCAGAACATGGCCGCACAAACCATCTTCCCACCACCCCGAAACCTTAAATTGCCGGCGGGTCAAAAATGGTCTAACCGCCACCCACATGCCTTGCAACCCGTTCCGCACACCTCAAGAATCCTCAAGATCTTGCACCACAACACCATCCCGCCATGTTGTCTTGTGACAGCTCGCGACCTCAAACCCCCAAGAGGGCTGCTGCCTTCACAGCACGAAAGGGGTCAAACGGTCAAACGCTGACGAGGCTCGTGATTACTCAATTGTCTAGCGACCGCAGAGCGAAAGGTTTTAACTTCAAACTCGTTGCTTCACTTTCAGACAGTCCTGGCAACCAACCTTCCACCAACTGACGATGCCCCTAATCCCAGCGCAGAAACAATTTTTCAAATGTGTGTATGGGAACTCAATTTCGTAAATGCACGAATGTTTGCCTGTGTTCACAACCATGGTTACCTGCAGTGTCAATTTAGCGGAAGCCAAGCTTCAGCGATGCACCTGCGTCAACATCCTCTTCCAGTATTTCGTGGAACTGCTTCCTGGGAAACACTGGGCCGTGTCAGAACAGGCATGAGCCTTTGAGTTCGTACTGCAGGGGCGGGGCTGTCCGCGGGGGCCAGGCGGGTAAGGCTCCTCAACTAGTTTGCCAGCACTGCGGCGTTTTGGAGGCTAGCTCCTGACTGGAAGAGGAGCAGAGCGGCAGCTTGATGGAAAAAGTTCAATTGATCTGAGGGATGGTTCAAAGCCGGGCGTCGGCTTTTGCCTTGCCGCGGCCGCCTCGAACTGTGCCCAATCCATCACCTGACTTGGAGCTTCGGGCCAGTCATGCCAGGAACATGTTGCAGCTCGCAGGGCACATCCTAACGACCCCTTCTGACCCGCCAAAAATGCACCTACGCTGCTGGCGCAGAGTTTCGGGTTGATTTTCGGCATCCGCTGTCGTTTTCCATAGCTGCAACCCGACCGTGCGAACTAGCGACTCCGAACTTCACCGAGCTTGGACCGTCGACATGCACCTCCCGTGGCTTTGGCCGGCCCGGCTGCCGAAGCGGCGCCCAGCGTTTACAATTACTCAGGTTGACGGCTAGGGGCTTAGGGCCAAGGTCTGCATTTTGTTGGCTCCAGCCTAGCTACTTAGCTGAGCGGAACTGTCTCAGTTGTCACGCTCTTTACAAGATCCAAGATGTCGGACTGTATCTGAATAAATGAGGTAAGATGCTTTGAAGCCCACGGTACTCAAAGCCCACTTTGCATCATGGCCGGGGAAAACAGCCGTTCACGAAAGATTTTTGCCACCGGCCTAGCAGCCTGGCACCACACCCCAAGTCACTAAAGGTTTTAAGTTCGGGGTGGAGTGCTCAGGGGCCAGGGATGATGTGAAAGTTGCACATCTGACTCGCCCAGGCACAGCATCCCCCATAGCTGTGGACTCGCCGCCTGCGGACACATGTCACCAAAGAGAAATCGGATGATCAAAATCTCATATCTCTACAGAAGGCTTGGCATGTAATGGGCTTCTGTAGCGACTTAAACTTATGCACCGCGTGCAGAGTGCACATGCTGCCGCGCCGAATCGCACATCTCCGGCATCTTCGGATGAAGGCGCAGAGAGACGTCTTGCCAAGAATGCATCGTGCAAGTCTTGGCGGATGCAAACCTCACAGAATGCAGGGAGTTTGCAGCTGCCTACCAATAAAGTGGTCGTAATGGGACAGCTGCAGATTGGCCATCCCGGCATGTGGTCTAACATTCATGGTGCCAGCCATCTGTAATTATTCCAAAAGAAAACACAGCTCCTCGTGCATGCACCCGCATTCGGCCAAGGCGCAATGTAAACTCGAAGCCTCTTCTGCGGCACCGTTCTGCGTGCATCGAGGCTGCGCCAGCCCACGGCGTATCCCACTGCACGCAGCTGCTCCAAGATGTCTGCAAAATCCTGGTCAGAGCCGAAAAATTTCGTCTTAGACTTCAAAAGCACCTCCAGATTCGTATAACGTCCCCAAACTCTCTAGCCATAATACTTGCAAGTAAGCAATAGGGAAATCCAAAGCTGGTTCACACCAGCACGCTGTCAATCATATGACCAACAGGTGACCAACAACAAGACAACGGATCGTCCGAAAGCGCGAAAAAATTGCAAAGTCAAGCATGAGCAGGGTCCTCTCCTCATCCTTATGATCATCATTAAATCCATTACCAAAGCCCGAGCACACCATTTGCTCGAGCTTCTACGTCACGACACAGCTTCCTCAACCATCTAAGTTGAGGCAGGTCTCTTTGCCAGAGTTGTGATTGACAAGTCCTTGTACATTCTCGAGCAAGGCGGCAGCCGGCCGACAGGAACTCCTGAAGTTGCCACTTGGCTACGAGTACCCCCAATTTCCCGGTAGTCCCTCCCTCAGCGATCCTGGTAGCTAGCTACCCTACCCACCATCTGGATCCGGGGAACATTCGCGAGTTCGGGCTTGGGAGGCGCGTCGAGAAACTTTGAACACGAACTACACTCATCATGCACCATAAGACTGTGTAAACCCCGCTTTACTCGCGGTCCTAAATGGTGACTCTCACCCCCTCCCTTGCATATTCGGCCAGAATTTGCGTGCGGTCCAGGCTCAGCAACCGTTTGACTTCCCACACAAGCTGTCCCTTTGCACAATCGAGTCCCGCTGCATCGGGATTGTAGCAGGTGTAGCTCCTGGGCAGGAGGCAAGATGTGTCTCATGCCACGATGTCCCCACACGAAAGCAAACGCTCCACTTCGCTTGCCCGGATTTGTGAGAGCCCTAACCCACGCGTCTGGGAGCTAGTGTGGAGACAAGAGGCTGGCAAGGGAAGCCAGCAGCCAGGAGATCAAAGGCAGGCAAGTCCTCAGCGGAGACGGATCGAACGTCCCCGAGCCTCGGAGCACGCACACACACACACACACACACACACACACACACACACACACACACACACACGCGGTTTCGTTGCTTGCTCCAGGACTTGCAGATCAGTGTACACACAAAATGGGTATACTAGCAGCAAAAGAACATGATCGCCTGCAGTTCCAAAGCTCCCCCCCACAAGCTCCGAAGCGGTTGAGGCTGGAACGGAGCCGCCTCCCCATCGGATGCGAAGTTTCGCCTCCAACAGCAGGACTTCAACAAGCCGAAGCACTGCATCTGTAACTAACCTACGGCTTACAGTGTGCCGTGCTAGAACGGAACTGTGACTTGACGGCCCCTGGCGTGATCCCAAACACTCTCGGGCAGGCCACATGTACGTCCGCCGCGCCGATGTCTTGATTTCGCAGGCGAAGACGCAGCGACCACCCGCTGCCTCCGCTTCCAAAACTAAGCCGCAAGCAGGTCCCTGGGCAGGTCCCTAGGCCCTAGGCATGTCCCTCTCTCCAGCTCGGGCTGAGTCCGGTTACCTGTCTTGCAAGAGCCCGGAACACTCGTGTCGAATGGGGTGAATACCCTCCTGCCCGGATGAGGGCTGCGAAATTTGCAAACAAAGTCAGGGTTTACAAACGTCAATCACGCTACAGCGATAAAATGACTCCTAAACTCTTGAGTCGTGTGATTTTGCTGTTGGTGTCGGCTTTAAGTGAGGTGCGAAGTTACTAGTCGGGATACCAGGTTGGTGCCCGCCCGAGTTTCAGGAGCATTCTTCCAGCGTGGGAACATGTACAGCGAAGGCCACAACACCTGAATCCTCGAACACTTGATAACTTGCCTCCTAAACTTCCACAAGTCCAGGTGCGAGGCCTCCAGACCGAGGCGGAAGCCGCCAATGCCCGCAAAAAGCTCGCAGAATGTAAACCTTTCAGGTTATGGATTTCGGGGTAAGGCTTCTTAGGCTTCCGGTTATAAAAGCAGCAACGGTGGCTGTAGCAGCGGCCCTGATGATAAAACGAACAGAGGACTGAAGAAACAGGAGGCACAACCTTCTTGTTGATTCGTTGATCGTACTACGAAGGGCCCGAAGGGGCAATCACAACGACCATGTCGCGAGACGACACATGATGCAATATGAGTAGTACGACCACTATATGGCAGTGTGTCAAAACCCCCTTTGTCGGGGTGGCCCGCGGTCCCTCTGTTGCAAACCTTTGTCGCGGAGGCCTTGTTTCATACCCTTTGTTGTGCAAATATTCGCATAAACCCCATTTCATGGTTAGCTGGCCGAAGCTTGTGCTAGAAGCTTTCTTCGCCTTAATGGGGCGGCAGAGAGAGGCCTTCCACATGCTGTAGGGTCTTAGAGCCGAAGCACGTTTGAATTCAAGGCTGGTTGCCGCGCCTTGTCGCCGGCTTTGTCGCAGAATGGCTGAGGAAATCCAGATTTTCAAGGTCTCGCTCAGGTGCACAACAAACACCTCAACCTCAAAGAATGTTAGATAAGTACGAAGGTCTTGTCACGGAGGGCTTGTCGCGAAACCGACCCTTCTGTTACAAGCTTGGTCGCGGGTTGGCCGCAGGAACCTGTTACAACCCAAACCGCAATATGAGCTTTCACCCTGACGACTGCGATCTGACGAATGAGGAATCACCAGAAGCCTTGGTGGCGGCGCCGCGGCACCTCGCCGATGCCAGGCCTCGCAGCCACTTGCATGTGATTTCTAGGGGGATCGGGATTTCAGTGATTCACAAAACCCGAAAAAAGATGAGCCCCTGGAACCGGCCTGCAAACTGGCCCCTCGCCAGCGTCGGCAACCTAGGGCGTGCCAGGTTCTCAAGTTTCGAAAGCAATCCCTAAACCATCTTCCAACCAATTGTTCACTAATTGCGAACCTTCAAAGCTAGAGCACCTTCACAGCACAGACAACATGGATTAGGGGTGATGATCGCCGTGACATTTCTCTTCATGCATGGGTTCCTTCATGGCATCTCAGATTCCATTGAGTCCATTGAAGTGAAAGGCAGCTGACCTACAGCCAAAAGGCCAGGCTACATGCTGCATTTCATCCCGCATCTTCTCTTGACCCTGCAACCCTGGAACGCTTTGCTTCGATTTCCAGATTCCGCATGTTGAAACAAAGCCACCTCAGATGGAACCTAGGAACAGGGCAGAGACGTTGTCCTGAGGTGGGGGAGCCATCGAATTGGACAGCATCCTCGCTCCTGAATGCCAGGCGCAATGAACAATTCTGCAAACCTAGCTGGTCCGTATAGTGGTTCTTCTTTTGCCCGCAATGCCAAGCTAATACAGATGTGGGAGACTTCAGCGCACCCCCTTCCAACCTTCCAATCCCTGTCCTTCTGCAGCTGGTTGCAGACCTGACGCAGTGCCTTCCAAGAAGTTGGGGTCGCTGGCTGTTGGGCTTTGTGCAGGCCTCTTCGAACACTGCCGGGCAAGAACATATCTAACTAACCGTTGGGCTGAAGGACGTAAAGTTGAAGGGCCCGTGTAGAATCACTTTCTTGGCAAGCGTGGCACTTGGGACTGTGAGTTTGTAGCTGCAGCCCAGGGCGGGGCACTTGGGCATTTTCATGGAAGCCAAACATCCTCAACATCTTCGAGAAGAAAGACAAGTGGGATCGTGGGAAGCCCTGCCCTGTCCTCCAAGGTCTCTCCAGCACATGGGTCCAATCCCTCCTCTCGCGAGGTGCAGGTGCACAACGTGCACCTCGCCAGGGGTGCTGAAGCTCCGGGGCGTCTGCTTTATTTATCAGCTCAAAGAGTGTACCCAGCTGCTCAGGAGTGTGCCTGATAGGATGATGTTAGGTTGGGGCTTGCTGGCTTGAAGGCTTCGTTCGTGGCAGCCTGCTGCCACAACAAACCCTGGGCATCTGGCATGAATTCTGGCATACCATGGATCTCAACCGACACGCACAAGGAACCATAAACGGAAGCATGGCGAAGCGGACAGCAACATTGCCGTAACTACAGTCAGGGCAAGTCTGGAAGCACACTTCGTGTCTAGATGCCGAAAGCGTGAAAGTCCGACACTTCCAACTTCACGATTCTCACCGACTTGTGCGGCAGTCCACAATTTAGACTCAAGACCTGGTCAGGCCACACATCCATCTCATCCATCGGGTCCAGCGAAGCAGAGAGCAACTGGAAGATGGCAGCGCCCTCCTCGGACCATGCCATGGACGGTCTATGGAATGCTTCGACACGGCCTCCGAAACTACGACCATCTGCTCATAGAAAATGGCTCAATGACATGAAGCTGGGGAAACGAGAGTTCTCTCCTGGCTCAAGTGGAGAGCATGGTGCAGCTCCTCAAGCGCTGGCAACGGCTCCTGGGTTTGAGAAAAGGGTTCAGAAACATACGACGAAATTCAAGCGCCAGACACAACACCTTAGAGCTTTGGAGGCCCTTAGGAGAGGTCTTGCAGTAGGGCCTGAGAGAGCAACATGCTCTTCGAATCAGGGGACAACACGAGCCAATGCAGCCCCCAGAGCATTCTTACTATCCAACGCGCTACTGGCTTAGAGCTCCTGGCAATCGCATCTAGAAACTCCTTTCGACTACAGAGTATGAAAAAACCGCGTCTCAAACAAGTGCGATTGAGGGCAGGAGACATAAAGCGTCAGCGATTGTCGCCCGCGGCACCACTTTCCAAGCGCCTGGATGTGGAGAATTTGGTGAATTCGGTTCCGAGCATGTCGCTTCCTATAGGGTGTGGGACAAAAAATGGGGCTCAACACCTTCCACACGCAGCATTTCATGAGGGAACGAGCCGCGTAGTCTCCGGGGCCTTACACGTTCAAGGACTGCAGCCTCAGGCAAACAGCCTTCCACGCGTTCCACACTCGCTCGCCAAGAAGGGTGAAGAGGTCTAAAGTCTAAAAGCTATCAGGCTTGCAGGTGATGTCAACGACTTTGGTCCCTCGAGGATTGGTCGCTGTCTACAGCTCACGCCAGCAAAGCTATTTTCTCAACCCCCCGCAGTGTCCTCACGGATCCTCGGGCTCCTGAGCAGCAAAACGTGCATGGCCGTGATTTCCACAATGTTCCGGCTACGGAAATATGTGGCAATGGCCGTCATTTGAGGGCACAGGATGGTTGTGGAACATGCTCGCCATGGTGAGGGTCTTTTCTGTGACGTTTGAACAGCTGCTGGGGAAGGATCCAGACAGATGACAAGACGGTCAAGCCTATACAAATCATGAACAGTAACACGAAAGGACAAATTTGTCACTGTGACGGGAAACCGCGACTGCGGAAAACCACGGGACGGTATGCCCGGGTATGACCGGGTATGCCCGGGTATGACCGGGTATGGCCAGGTATGATCGGGTGTGACCGGGTATGACCGGGTAATTATATGACCGGGTATATGACCGGGTATATGACCGGGTATGACCGGGTATGCCCGGGTGTTACCGGGTACGCCGGTACATGACCGCATATGACCGTGTGTGACCGTGACGGGGCCTGACCGGGTGCGACGGAGTATGCGCTCGCGCGTACTCGGGCGTAGTCCAGATTACACCTCACTCGATGCAGGGCTGGTGGTTTGAAAGCTAGGTGTGAGGTCGAAGGGATTGCGGCTGAAGTTTAGTAGAGAAGGCAGACAAAGTCCGCTCGCAGGCCATCGTCGCGGGAGATGAGGCTTCGAAGGGTCTACCCTCTCTCCTAAGCCCTAAAACTTAAATGCCAAGCACACAGGACTTACAGATACTTACAGCCCGCGGGGCTTTAGAGTGCTAACACTGTGTTTTCGGGCCAGCATCCCCCTATGAATTACCTGGAGCTGTTTCGCATTCAGCGAGAAAGCGAGCAGGGTTGAACCCTCTAGGGACCTGCACCCTCCTATACTCGGCGTACTCGGGCGTACTCGGGGGTACTCGGACATACTCGGGCGTACTCGAGCGTACTCGGGCGTACTCGGGCTTACTCGGGCGTACTCGGGCGGACTCGGGCTACGAGATTGAGTCTGGATTTCGATACGAGATTGAGTCTCGGGCGTACTCAGGCGCACTCTGGCGCACCTGGCGTATCGGGCTTACTCGGGCTTACTCGGGCGTACTCGGGCGTACTCGGGCTTACTCGGGCGTACTCGGGCTGCAGTCGCGGAACGCGGCCGCAATGAAATTTGTCAGCTCTTTCGAAATTCTGGCCAGGCTTCGTTGAGAGGAGGCAGGTTGGGGGAGTTCACTTGAAACAACTTCAGGTGCGAACGCTGTAGCTAGAGGGTCCTGCTTTTGAACCGCAGACTCTTGAGTACTTTACAGAGCAAGGCTCAAAGATGCAATTGTCTCAACAACGGGCGTGGCAAGGCCGATGTGTTTTGTTGCTCCGTCTTCCATCTTGAATGTTTTGCGCAACTTTTTTCTGTAAATCTCGAGCAACCTCGCATTGTGCTCTGTCTCGCACGCAGGAAAACAAGGGGGGTTTTGTTGGGCGCTAGGACGAACGAAGGTTTGCAGTCAAGGCTCAGAGAAGCAGGAGCGACAATGGCTCCGAAAGCCCCCGCATCGACGGCCCCGTCCTGCCAGGATGTATGACACTTCGTAAACATCCTTGGAGGATATGAAGCTGAACCCTTAGAGCCTCATGCAGGACCTCTCGAATCCTTGCAGCCCTTCTGGCCTGCTTATCAAGGCTGGGGCAGTCCTTGGCCATCAGCCACTCGGTTCAGGAAGGCGATCCATGAGGAGAACGGAGAACGGACATGTCGATAAACACTTTGGAAGCACTAAGCCTGCCCAGCTTAAGGCAAGACGACCCATAGAGCAAAATACACATTCTTTTTGCTCGGGTCGAGCGGTGTTGATTTGGCTGAACACAGGGATCCTTCGCTTCTAAAGCTGGATCCCAGGAGGAAGGCTCCGGTATGAGGAGAAACGCTGGAGATGACTCGCGGTAAAGAAACCTGCAGTGCAAACGAGTTGCTTTTTCGGCTGCTCTGTATCTCCATATCTTGGCTGTCCATGCCTGGGGAGTCGACTCGAGTAGACCCAGGAACCAGCAATAGTGTCCAAACGGCTCGGGTCAAGCATCATCAACATCCAAGTCCAGCATCTTCTGCAATGTCGCCCTGTTCGCCATAACCCAATCCAACACCCGCACATATTTCTCAGTGGCTTCTGCACAAACGAAGGATGGCAATGCTGCACCCTCTACTTCTGCAGAGCTCGCCCACAGCACCGGAACAAACAGCATGCGACATGCGACTTTGACAAACATGGTGTACCACATGTGCCGCACATCGGGCAAGCCATACAAGTCTGCAGTGGTAAGGTATGCAGCAACTGCAGCGCGCAGTCGTTCCTCATCCAAGAACGCGGCATCTTGAGTGCCGCCCGCTCCTGCGCTGCTAAGTGGGCCATAGAGAAAGGTCCAGTACAGCGTTACGGTGAAGGCATACAGGTGCGACTCCGTCGCGTATGGGGTGAAGTCAATAATGCACACGGTTGCGTTTTCGCTGGAGGGGGAAATCATCACATTCCCTAGACCCAGGTCGCCGTGCGTGAGCTGCTTAGGCAGCGATTTGTAAGCTTTCCGGTGCTCCACAAGCAGCGCTAAGGCACGGCTTGCGACCAGAACACCATGTTCCCCGGCTGCATCAACCAGGAAGCTCAAGTCTGACAGCATTGGGCGCACATGGTCCAGCAAGTAGTCCAAGTCGTCCGCCTCGTCCCAGTGGTTCTTGTGCTCCTTTACCCATTCTGGCACCTTCACCCTGTCAGCGACATCCTCGGGCGAGATGTCACTGCAGGGAAGGCATGAGCAGTCCTGCAGTGCTGCATTGAAAGCTGCAATTCCCGCGCAAGTCCCGGCAATCCAGTCGGCATGCTTCTGCTCCCAGTCGAAATCCACGAATCCCATGAGTCGACGCCAAACGCTGAGACCGTTTAGAGACTTCACACGCGGAGTCCGCGGAAGCATTTCGCAAACCGGACAACCACAACTCGCACATGTAGCAGCACCCGCACCGTCTGAAGCCACATCAACCATCAGGGAAGGTGAAATGGGCTCCGGCACAGTCACAAACACGGCGCCCGGACTCCAGGCCTTAATGTCACTAATGTCAGAAGTTCGAAGGCTCTGGTTGTAGATGGCAAGCTTTTTCGCCACGCGGGGCAGTAGGTCATGTCGAAGGCGGAGGTCCCTATCCTCTTCACCACTCCGGACGAAATAGTCCTGACAGCCAAGCCCGGTTTCTGCGCAGCCACATCCTGACTTAGTACGGATGTAGAAGTATTGGTTTGGCGGCCTTCCAGGGGCTGTTTCAATCCGGTCAATATCGCTGAACTCGGAATACTCGCAGCAGAGATGGGTCAGGGCTGCTTGGTGCGGGAATACGCATGGATCGCCCATGGATGTACAAAGCTTGAGGCTTTTACACTGGAAAGCTGCGACACTCAACCCCGAGCCATGAAGATTGGGGCCAAAAGGTGGCAAGACTGCACAAAACAAGCCTGAGCAGACGTCAACCAACTCTGCCGGACTCAGGCTTACTTGCGACTAGAGTAAGTCAAGCTGATTGCGAGGGCGCGTCATGGTCATGGGCGGCGGCAGGTAAAGGGATTCCCTTCCTTTATCATAAGCCATTCAATTGCAGTGTTACAGTGGTGTTGCCTGGCATCGTGTCCAAGCCATCACGCAAAGCAGAACTATAGACAACGTCCGAACCCAAATGATCCTGCAAGGACATTTCATCGTTCAGAGGAATCAACTAGCATGGTTTAAGGCTCGACCTTGTTTGTGCTGTAGCACTTCAGCAGCTCGGCCCAACGAGTGACACACAAGTACTGCCCAAAGCCGAGGCTTGTGCCGAAGGGCTGTGTGGGCCCATCTGCAAGGCCGCAGTAATGCCTCGGGGCGGAACCAGCATGTAAGCATGTGGCATACTTGGGGGTCCTATGTGTCCATGCCTGTAGATGCCTGTAGCCTGCCTCATTCTGTTTTCGTCCTTTGCAAGAGCAAAGCCCGCGGTCCCAATCCAGTACATAGCCTAAAAAGTGGGACCATCATGTTGGCGGGGGTTGGGGGGGGGGGGGGCGGCAGTTGGACATGAACTATTGAGAAATCAACCAGAGAAGGCCTCGAGGCCATCTGTGACCCACCAAGAGAATATATTCAACCACGACGCACAGCCTTGTAAGGAGCCAGCTTTGGTTCTTGCTTGGGGATGGCTGGGGTTTTTGGACACCGAATACGTATGCAGTCGCCGACGTATGTGCTTTACAGCGCAAGTCGTGAGTGCGCTGATGGCCCTATAGCAGCCTAGAACGAAATATTTCAAACCACCGGGGAGAAGCTCTAAGCCACCCCGCAGCGACGCCAAAGAGCCGTGCATTGCTCCAGTGAGGGGCCGCCGGAGCAGCGCGTCCTCTCCATGCCCGGCAACAAAGCGCAGGCCCTAGCAAAAGCAGAAGCACAGGAACTGACAGGAACTGAACCTGGCGAAGCCGAGTGTACGTGCGTGCGGCAAAATCCATCCATGAACGCTCTCAACCCGAAGCCGTCACACAACCTTTGTGGAAGCGAAGGCCTGAACTCGCTGATTCATTCAAAGCCCAATCCAATGTCAAGTCTGTCCATGATAGCCGCAATCGCTGCAGACACCACGACCTGTCTTGTGCTTTTTGCACGCCCATCTGGTTCGAGTGGGGCTTGCGCAACTGCAGGCTGCAGATTTCATGATCCTCAACTCTCAAAAACACCCATGCTGCACTCGTCGGTTTCGATAGGACTGCAATGCGACTACTTCCAGCCTTATATGGCCTTACTTTCCACTGTCGACAACTCGAAAAGAAACATTGCACCATGAATGGATCGTTCATTTGTGCAACGCCTGAAAAATAACACGAGAAGCACGCGATCATGCACAAAAAGTTTGGGACCAATGAGATCACACGTTTCTTCCTGGGGGTGCCTGAGAAGTTTAGGGGCCCATAGCTGTGTCAGAATATTTGAAATGTTTGTTGGCATAAATCTCGGCCCAAAGGATTTGATGAAGTTAGGGCGGACAGTCACAACAAACAGTTCAACTCCCTGACAAACGTGGCCACAACCACAAATCGTGCAGCCTGAGCTGTACACTTTGAGAGGCTTTGAAACTCATTGCGCACTTGTTTAGCATTATTCAGCGTGATCAAGCCCGGCCAGAGTACTCAACTCCCTATGCCATCACATTTGTTTGAGGGATCCTGCGGGCGTGTGCAAAATCACTACCAAAAACGGCCTCTGCGTTTCGAAGCTGTGCAGGGATTCGCTGGGTGAGGCTTTGGGGACCCGTCGTACTTCGCTCAAAATAAAAAAAACAAGTGAGGATTTCAGGGAAGTGAGTACCTGTTACTAATTGACTAGGATATGAAAATTGGAGCGGAAGAATGCGGGTCAGGTTTGGTGTTGAACGTCGGTAAGTTTTCGAAACCCGGTAAGGATTTGCAGACGACCAGTGCTGGTAGTCTGAGGGATGAGGGTCGGAACTTTAGCTTTACACGCCCCTGGAGAAACTGAACAAGGATAACTGGACATTCGTCACGATCAAGAAGACGTGATGAAAACCAGGAATTCTTCGCTGAAATCAACAACGAAGTCCAAAAAGCAAGAAACACAAAATCCACCTAGCTACTACCCTGAGCCCTCAGAACTCAGCCTTCCTCCAATACTACCCTAGCCTACCTGAACTGAACTTGCCTCCAACGTGGTCTAAAGCACTAACCAGGCAAACAGAGGGGCGGATTGCCTGCTAGCCTACGACCGGCTCAAAAAAGCCCATGACACAAGCCATGTCGAGCCACGCGTGCGCCATCTGTCTCCCGACTGGCCCGCAAAGCAAAGCAAACCGCGGCGAAGTGCCGCCTCGGCTCAAGGGTGTGTAGGTCTGATTCGAGGTCTGAGTATATGCCTGGTAGGTCCTGGTAGGTTCTGTTGCGTTTATGGGAGCACACCTGGAAAACATCTCTACAGGGACTGGGAGATGGTTTCTTGTGGTTCTTGCAGCTGGCTGTATCGGCCCCAGCTGCACCTTTGCCTGGTGCTGTCACATCAGCGCGATTGCATCTTCAACTTGCAGTAAGACCTCTGGCCAATCAATTCTGAAATCATCCGATTCTGCAACCCAGATTGTGCACATTTCTACACCCAAGTAGAAGGAGAGACCACGAGCAGAGCGCCCAGCGCGATCAGATATAGATGCCTCATCAGGTCTGCCTGGCACTCCAAAGGACACTCTGCTATGAAGCAAGAGCAATAACAACGCCGGCACGGTCGTGCCCACTCATCCATCCTGTCAGAACTAAAGGCATGCAAAATGAAATTGCAACACATTGGCCTTTGTCTCTTGCTTCATGTCTTGCATCCAGAAACAGCGCGTCTCCTGAAAGGGGAAGGTTTTCAGACATTTGGATGGTGAAGCTGGGATCCTCTCATATAGCTGGTTTTGAGCATGCCGACCCCCACAACTCGAGATCCAAGTCAAGCTGACGCTTCGCTGCTTCAGTATACCCAGAATTAAAGGTGCATGAGTTCATGTACTCGGCTGCGACTTCGAAGCTTCACCAAACGCAACCCCCGTCAATGTCACGATCGACTGCTCTTCTTCTCATCTTCCTGCCCAACCTATGAAACTCTCGCTTGAAGCCCTCAGCTGTGAATGCATTGTTCGCGCTGGTATCAAAATGGCAAGGAAAAATTGCAAAGCTTGACATCCCCACCCACCACTCAACGGCCTTCAGCGAGTGATCCAAAGGCAGGGGCATGGGCAGGATCTGTGTCCTTTGCAGTCACTCGATGTTTTGGCTATCAACTATGTTGCAAAGGATTGTTCAGTAACGGATGGGTGTTGCAATGAAGGATTGAAATAAGGCGCCGTCTTCATTGTTCCTGTCTTGCTCAAGCGTTTCTAGCATTGAGGCTGCCACACAAGACGCGCGATCAACGCAAATCTCGTCAACGCCTGGGCCGAAGCTCTTGCTAGGGTACTCAGATGTACAATAAGCCCAAAAACCCGATTAAGTAAGAAACGGCTTGGGACTCGACCCGCGGGGAACCCGTGCCAAGTAGTATTGGTCGAGAGCTGGGCCGGGGTGTATGATCTAGGCTTCAGTCTTTCGTGTTCAAATGTGTTCAAATGTGTTCGAAGTCTGGGCAGCTGTTTTGCAACCCGCCTCGCCGCGGAAAACATTGAGATCCGGAATTTGCATGTGCGGCTACTTTCTATACACAAGCATTGCTGTCCTCGCTTTCTCTTCTTCTTCACTTCTTGCACCCAATGGAAGGGAGCCGGCAGTTTTTTCGTGAGATCCTCGCTCTTCTGCTGGACTTGAAGGAGCCCTGACGGACCCCTCTGCGCACGAGCGCACCCGAGTCCTTCGTCACTCCATCTCTCCCTCTCTCCCTCTCTCCCTCTCTCCCTCGCTCTCTCTCTCTCTCTCTCTCTCTCTCTCTCTCCACACGCTAGGCCCCCCAGAGGGGAGCCGCCCCTCTCTCTCGCTCTCTCTCTCTCTCGCGCTCTCCCAGACTGAAGTGGCGCCTCTGTGGCGCCCTCTGTCTCTCGTCACCTCTCTAGGTCGACTCGACAGGCCACGTGTAAAATCAACGGCATACTTCAAAACAGAAAACTGCCAATTCGATACCTTCCTCAGAGTTGCCTGGTACAAGCCCAGCGGCAGGAGGCCACTGAGCAACTACTGGCACCCCAGCTGGCAACAGCAAAAATCTCTGCGTGCATCTTGCGATTTTTGCTAGTCGGCGTGCGCTACCCTCGCAGCATTTACTGGCGGAGCCGTATTTGTCGAAGTAGCACAGCCGGCCGGTGGCAGCGATTCCCCAAAACCGATCTTGGCTCTGGGGGAGTGGCTGATTGCGACATGTGCTCTGACTGGTTGCAGAGCAACGTCAACCTCAGGTGGAGTGGTGTTGGGACTTTTGGCTTCAAAACAGAGTTTGGTGTTCCATGAATTGCCAGAAGCACACCTATACTTCCTCAATGTTGTACTGATCAATGTAGACCCCGAGCCAGTCCATTAACCTGAAACCTGTGAACACATGAGGCAAAACAAGAAAGTCGAGTGCAGCAACGCTGCAGGTGCGATGCCAAACGGCAGCAGTCGGAAGCTTCAAAAGGATCACGAACTGCCTGGAGGGCAGTGGTTCTTAAAAGGCATCTGCATGACTCAGCCGCGATCCAGTGAATCTAGTTTCTTGAGTTGAGCATGTGTCTACGGCCAGCCCTCCTGCAATACTGCATGACTCGCGACAACCCTGCATGGCCAAAGTTGTCGGTGTGTGTGTGCGCAACTCATGTCACCAAAGGTTCGTGATTCGTCTGACGTTCTGCTGTGCGACGGTTGAGGGGGGAGTAATCC